TGATTTAGAAATTAAATTTCTCTCCATACTGCCTAAAATGGGTCTTTGCCCTTTTTGACAGACAGATCACACCCTGCTAACTCATATTTAGTAACTAAGTACATGAAAAGTTCTCTTTCACATATCGATTGTGTCATGCTTTTAAAAGTTTGTATGCCCATGAAGAGTTCAAAGGAACTTTTAGGAGAAAACAGTAGAAATAGAACCAACTTTGTAATCCACAAGGAATCTAATCCGTAGCTACAGAAATCGACTGCAGAGGTCTTTTAACTAAAGAATGAATTTGGCTGAACTAGTAACACTGTTAAGAAGTCAAGAAACCTATTGTAGGTCAAGCAATTTCACTGAAGAAGCAGATTAGGAAGAGTATCGATGCTTTTGAACTTTGGTTTTGGAGAAGGCTCCCGAGAATACCACAGACAGTCAAGGAAACAAATAAACGAATCGCTGAAGCAACTCTCACTCGAAGGACAAATGACCAGGTTCAAATTATCCTACTATGGACACATGATGCAAAGACCCAGTTCCCTGGAGAAGCCTCTAACGTTGGGAAAGGTGGAAGAGAAGAAGACGACAATCAGCAGAAAGGGGGATGAACTTTGTCGTAATGGTGGTGGGTGCACCACGGGAAGCCCTAAATATCTCTCCAAGTGGTTGCTAAGAAATGACACTGACTTGACGGCACATAATCAATCATTTTCTTCTGTCAACTCTAACATGAGGTTCCTAGTAACCTAAGGATTTTATAGTCCCTTCCTTGATGTGTAAACATGTCATCATCCTCTGCAGGATGAAGGCCTCTTCCGCATGTTTCCAACCAAGATGGTCCTGAACTTCTGTTTGCCAATGGGGCGGGCCATACTTGCTGATGTCGTTGATCCATCTTGTGTTAATTCTCTTTCGTGGATGCTTTTGATCAAGTGGTATCCATTCTACGACTGCCTTGGTCCACCTGCCCTCAGTTTCTCCTTGCTATGTGACCGTTTCCATTTCCATTCTTTGTCTCTCTTGATGATATTGTGTGCGTTGTCTGTTCTCTAATAATCCTTATGCATGGCATCCATATGAAACATGTAATATGGATTCCACATTGGATGATCGCTAAGCTGCTTACCCATTCAATGTTCACGTTCACAGACTATGACGTAGGTAGTCCTTGACTTACGACCATAACCGAGCCTAACATTTCTGTTGCCTAAGCAAGACAATTGTCAAGGGACTTTCACCTCATTTTGCAACTTTCCCTGCCCCAGTTGTTAAGTTGTTCGTCTGAATTTTGATCACATGACCGTGGGGATGCTGCAACAGTTGGAAGGGTGAAAAATGGTCATAAGTCATTTTTTTTCAGTGCTGTTGTAACTTCAAATGGCCACTAAATGAATGATTTATTAAGTCAGGGATTGCCTGTACAGTATAGATTGGGAGGTATGAATGAAAGATGTCATTGCACTGATCCCATCATAGTCACACTTACATAATAAAGTGAAGCCTTCTCAACAATTACACATTCAGTGTTCATCCTACACTTTGCAAAAAGGAAAGATCCACACCTTTTGATGGCCCTATTTAAATAAACACATACTAAAAAACAAAAACCCTTTTCTTTTGACAAAGCATGATTGTGCTGCTGAAACACTAATTTGAAAGCAAAGACAATTCAAATATAAAATGTTCATCCATTCAGTTCTTCAGATGACCAAGTATTTTAGCCCAATTTTTTTTTCTCTCTCTCTCCTAGGAAACCGCCCTTGGAGAGCTCTCAATGTTTTGTTTTTTTTTAAACTCCTACTTTATCATCTCTCGGTGTATAAAAGAATGACACACTTTACCCCCAATTTAATTTGAAGAATTACAAGTTGTACCGTTCCAATGGTGCAATCAGGATTTCTGACACTAGAAGAAACAATTAATTACCAACATCTGTTTTTAGCCCACATTTTAATTACCTAATCTAGCCATCTGTAATTTTCAGCGCTTTCCTTGAGTTTCCATTCCTTGCTGTGTGATTCAAAAAACACCCTAACATTTTCCGCTTGGAACAAAGAACACCCTAACATTTTCCGCAGAAAAAGTTCCATAATCTCTCAGCCAGATTTCCATAGCTATCACAAACCTCCCTGGAAACCCAATCATCAGATCTGACCAGCATCCTGAAAGCAGAACAAGAAGCAATGGATGGAAACTAACCAAAAAGAGAAGCAACCTAAAACTAAGGAGAAACTTCCTGACAGCGAGAGCAATTGACCAGTGGAACAACTTGCCTCCAGAAGTTGTGGGTGCTCCAACACTGAAGGTTTCAAAAAAATGGACAACTGTTTGTCTGAAATGGTGTAAGGTTTCCTGCTTGAGCAGGGGGTTGGGCTAGAAGACCTCCAAGGTCCTTTCCAGCTCCATGATTCTGTTATTCTGACCATACAGAGTTTTTTGTGGACATCCACATCTCTTGAGATGGATGGCTAAACAAGGAAACACCAGTGAACTATCTATGGCCACCAGCTATACTTCTGGGATGTGGGCAGCTTCTGGAACTCAGTCTTACCTGCTGGTATCTGCTACTGCCCAAAAATATTATGCAAGGGAAAAGAACATTACATCTTTTGCTGCTAATAAAGGTGGGGGACAGCGATCAAGCAGAGCCAAGGGACGAAACGGGACGAAGCTCTCCGCTCCCAGATGCCTTGCTCAAAATTTGAATTTTAACAATTCCTTGGGGACCCACTGAGATAATTTAAACTGTTTCTGAAACAGATCAACGGTTTCCATGCAGTGAAATGTAATGGTACGTTGTACCACAAAACCCATAACAATCACGCTGCACTGCAATTTGGAAGTTGGCGTTGAAGTTAAGACAGGAGGCTCATTTTTTTTATTTGTAAGCTGTTCATTTCCCCACCCCAGAGCTAATTTTCCCTAGATTTGTGCCTAATACTAAATATGGATCCCCCAGGAATGGAGCCACAAAGGGATAACTTTGAGAGGAAACTGATTTTTGGAGAAAGGAATGTGTAGCTTTCCTACCTCCTTAATGATATCGTGTCTGCAAATTCACAACGTTGGTTTTTTGGAAGTTTGTTTGTAAAAAAAAAAACAACCCACCAAATACATTGCACATATTTCTGTGTAATGCCTGGAAAAATCCAGGGAATGTTAGCAAATATAAGAAAAAGGATCACATAGTAAAACCAAAGGTAAAGTTTGAACCCCATTAAAATGGGATAACAGTTGTGAAAAAAAAAAAAAAAAAACAGAACAAAGCCTGTGAAATTGCCACCAGTAAAATCTTGGGAAAAGCCGGAGCGTGAGAGAATGAAATCCTTTTTCACTGCAGCTTGTCACACATCTCTGAACAAACTTTATTTACCATGCATTTCTACTATCGTCAAAGGTATTTAAGCAATGGAGAGATTGTGCTAGGTATGCAGGGAAACTGGGCAATGAATTAGCTGCCTTGTTTCTCTGGATTGAGGGAGAAGAGTGGGAGGACAGTGATGAAGAGAGACAGAGGAAGATCTGATCTCGGTTGAAGCCACAACAGGTTGGAAAACGTGTCAGCAAACAGCAGAATATATCTGGTGCCAGCTGCTCCTGATATTTTAGGGCAGAGAACACCGTAATGCAAATCTCGTCATATACCCTCTTAAGAGCCCCCTGATGTGGAAGCCATGTGGGAGCAGAATCCCCAAATTTCCTTCTCCTTCCTCTTTCTAGGAAAGACCAGTCTTTTTTTGTAAAAAAAAAAAAAAAAAAAGGTGCAGGAACTCACACATGTCATACAACCCGCCTTGCCTACCCTACAAGGTTCTATCCAAAAAAGGTGCTGGAACGCCGTTCTGGGCATTCTATGACAAAAAAAGCCCTGGGAAAGACACAAACCATCCCTTCAGGGTGATCTGAAAGGCTTCAAGGGAGAGATAGAGAAATTCCCAGTCTGAGGATCTACTAATTGAAACACAATTTACAAGGAAGGAAGAAATACGTTCTTCAGGGAGGGCATATGGCTAAGAGGGATGACACCACGTTGCTGATGAAAAAACACAATAGCTGGAGGACCATATCATAACACACTGCCACGGTGAGAAGGCCATGCAACTGTAACATGGTCATCACTGTTGAGCAGACTTCCCAACATAGACATCCTTCTGGTAAGTGGGATTCTTAAGTGGCTAAGATGATTATGGAATCTTGGGGTGGAAGTTCAACATCCAAGTTGAAAGCTGATGAAAGTAGCATTAACTGAGAAGTAGAACACTGCATGCAGAAGACTTTGGGTTCAATAGAACCTCCTGTCTCAGACCTGAAGAGATAATGATGGTAAATTTAGATAGCCAATTAAACAAGACTCTGGTTCCATTCCAGACAATTTTGATGTTTCCATGAAAACAAGTCTGAAAAGGATGAAAGTTTATGTATTGGCTTTCCACCAATCGCAACTTTTTATAAGATAATGGAACAGAAGAATTCTAATTTTCAGTTTCTAAAGATCCATTGGCTATGGTCCTCTTCTTCAAGAGGGCAATCAGACACCTGTATGAAACATCTAGGTATGACATGGAGACATATCGTAAGTTAGAGTTTTGACAATCCAGAGAGAAAAATTAGAAAATCTCAAAAGAAGTCCCAACAGCAGAAACAGAAGAACATATACAGTTATTTGATTGGCCTATCAACGCTCAGTCATCAATCATTTATGGGACACTAGCTTGCTTTAGGCTTGGAACAAGATCAAGAGAAGAGAACAAGAGAATGGCTATTATAGAAAAAGTCCTGCTCTTGAAATCTCCAACTTGAAATCTGAAAAGAATGAGGAAGCACAGATCTCATTTTAACTTCCATCATTTTACCTAATTTGAGCAATGTAGGCGGAGAGAGCTGAAAGGTCCATAACATTTTAGACCTTCACATTTTTCATCATTGAATCCCCTGCTCCTTTTTTTTCTCCTACACAGGACATCATTGCATGGCAAGGAGTGAGACGAGGAAAGATGCATTGGTTTACTTACTGCTGGTCCAGTAAAAGGAATATGGTCACAATTCTCTAGCCATGACTGGTTGAGACTCTCTGCAAATTCCTGGAAGAAAGGGTGGGACTGGTTGAAGATAGAAAACCCCATGATGTTCACTCGATCATCCATAAGGCTGTCCAGTTGCCGGAGAGAAAATTCCTAGGGGAAGCCAAGGATCAAAACACAAAGAGCAGAATTAGTATGTTCTTCAATAGTCATTCAACAAGGGAAAAATGGAAAGGGAAGGCATTTAATGAACTGCAAGGACTGGTAAAAGCTAGGGAATGTCAAGAAGCTTCAAAAGCTATTTACTTATAAATTTCTTCTGAAAAAACAAAAATCAAATTCCTCATCTGTTACAAACATGACCAGGAGGAAGCCATGTGTAACATCAAAACTGAGGAGGCCTTAGCCTCTGTCTTTATAAATCTCAGAAGATGAACTCACTGGAGAATCCAAGCTCTATCTCCATAAAAAAATAAAATAAAAGAAGGCTCATCTTAACTTCACAACCAGCACAGGGACTGACCTTCACAGATCAAAGGAGGCATTAAAACTTCAATTTCTGCCAGCAGTTATAACCATGAAATAAATTATGATCTGGGTCAAGACAGAAATTTTACCCTCCTAAATCAGAAATGTAATGGAGGTTTTTTGTTTTGTTTGTTTCCCTACGGTTGCTATTGTTCTCTCTTTTAAGCCAGATGGGGAAGACAAATGCTACGACAACAGCTTATCTGTGATGGACAAACTTAAATCAGGGGCCTGAGCAGTTTTTTGGACCGAGTCGAGGTTTCATTCAGCAGCACAAAAATTAGAAGCGCATTATTGATGTGGTTTGAATGATGTGGTTCTTCGGTTTTCCAGGCAGGTTATTTATTTCTGCATCACACATTGTCAACTTGTGGCATGAGGGCAGATGGCTAATGAGAGCCGAGGCCTGAAGGGATTTCGTATGCAAAGAATGTGACAACAATTGTGCCAAACCAGCACGATCTGTCTTTCTCCCTAGACAGACGCTGGAGGACCAAGAAAAAAAAAAAAAATCAAATCTGAGAGAAAACAATGCTCTCTCAGCCCTAGCCAGGAATCTGAGGAGCCCTGTTGCAGAAAAACACAACTCCAAGTAACAACCTCACACACAAAAAAAATCAGCCAAGAAACAAAAGTGACAATGAATTTGAATAGCTGGTACCCCGAGGAATCATCTACATAAAGGAAAACAGAATACTGAAAACCAAACAGATTCAATGGCCTTGAAAATTGTATGTTGTGGAGATTTCAGTCAGAAGTTTTAAAACTAGAATTAGGGGTAAGATAAGGAATTTTTGGAAATAGCGATAGGAATCAATAAAGGAGAATATTTGTAACTCAGGGTTAAAATTGTGATAGGGAGCATCCAGCCTCTGCCATCTAGTGAGTTCACTAAATTGAGTTTCTTTTAATGCTTTGAATATCTTCTTCATTTTTATTACAGCTCAGAACGAACTATTTATGAGATTAGCTATTAGCAACTCCCCTTCCATCTGTTGGCTTTATATTTAGCGTTCCTCAAGAGTTTCTTTCTCAGCCTGCTTACCATTTCTGATATCTCCTTCCTAGGTCTGGAGAGGAAGGAAATAGGGAATCCAGAGGCTGGCTTGTCTTTGGGGAGATAATCCAGCATTCATCTAATACCAGGTCCTCCTGATTATGTAGTGCATGGAAGGAATGAAGATACACTTTCCATGGAATGGTTGGAAAAAACCAGGATGAAGAAGTTGTAGGCCCTCCTAACATCCCAGAACAGAAATGTTGAAATGGAGAACTTTCCTTGTGGGTAGATGCTCAACACTGGAAGTTTTTAAGAAGAGACTGGACAACCATTTGTATGAAATGGTGTAGGGTTCCTACTTGTGCAGGAGGTTGGACTAGAAAACCTTCAAGGTCCCTTCCAACTCTGTTATTCTATTATTCCCTGAAAGGACACAATCTTTGTTATCAAACAGAGGTAGCCATGGACTTTAGTAATCTGCTTCTTAAATCTCAAGAACATATCTTGAAAAACACAGGAACAATGTGCTTTTCTTGAGTTACTTACACGATGGACAACGCCCTTTTCAATTGACCAGCCTCAGGTCCTGGCTGCAGCAGTCTCACCTGCTTATTTATTCTATTGATTTATTTGTCAAACAAAAATTACAAATTCAAACAAACAAAATGAAAAAAAACCCCTAAAATATGACAGGGACGATAGGCACGTTAGTGCCCTTGCTCACACCCTGTTAGGACCCTCTTAAATATGGGATGTGGTCCATGGAAGTTAAATTGGAATCATCTTCCTTACATTTTCCACAGCTTTACTTATCTAGCCAACAGACCATAAAAACGCTTCCTCTTCCTTGGAGGAGCAGAAGTAAGATGGAAGATCTTACGCTTTGGTGCAGCTTGATTTCTTCCGAGATCAAAATCTCTTTTGCCATCTTCCCGGCCACATGTGCAACTCCCTTTATCAGTTACAGCAAGAGCTTTATTGGGTGGGGAGTTCTGCTGCTGATTAATAGCCTTCTAATCATTCCTTAAGTGCTCATTTATGAGGATTTTATGATCTGACGAGGGGGCAGATCCAAAATGGGAGACTGGCGGAGAGAATTCAGATGCTGCTGTCATAATGCTCTCCAAAACCGGTGGCCTCCTCAAAGATTTTCTCTTTCTTTTTTGCTCTGGTTTCTTTTATCGTTCATAGCAGATTTTGAGAAGCAAAGAGGATTAATAGTATCTCGATTCTTGAATGGCACACCACCCATTTTTTTCTCCCCCGCTGCAAATTTTCTGTTTCCTTGTACAGCAAAAATTAATGCTTCTTTACCTCAATTAGAGGAAAAAGAATTCCAAACAAAATCACATAATCCTCCTTTCTCCATCCACATTGGAGTGGTAGATTTTGCCAGAGTTCCTCATCCATTGCAACTTTAAAATATGTGGACTTCAACTCCCAGGATTCCCCAGCCAGCTGACTGTGGAATTCTGGGAGTTGAAGTCCACATATCTAAAGTTGTCAAGGATGAGAACTACTGATCCAGGCAGAAGATAATAGACAATATTGCCAGCATAGGTGATGTCAACGCTATTAATATAGGATATTATTGCTTTGACAAAATATACAGAATTGTCTGGTATTTTTAGAGTTAATTCAGATGACAGAGAAAGGGAGGAGAATTATAAGGAAAGCCCGGGAAAAGGAACAGAAGTGAATCTTTGCCCTCCGGGCTAATTGGAAGATGTGACTTATGACTGCAAAATAAGGGAGGGGTTTAGCAAGAAAAGTTAGATGCAAGCAAGAGAAATTAAGATTCTGGCATCCATCTATCTGAAGTGCCGTCAATCTGTTACACTGTTAATAAAGGCTTTTAGGGTAAACATTGCCTGGAAGTTCTTTGAAGTGTTTCATTAGTCGGAATCATGACAGGTACTATAGTCCTTGACTCACAACCACAAGGGAGCTCAAAGTGAATTTTGTCCCATTCTATGACCGTTCTTGTTAAGTGAATCACTGCAGTTGTTAAGTTAGTAACACAGGTTGTTAAAGTCACAGGCTTCCCCCTTGACTTTGCTTGTCAGAAGGACTCAAAGAGGGATCATATGACTTGGGACACTGTGACTGTCATAAATACGAGTCAGTTGCCAAATTTTGATCATGTGACCATGGAGATGCTGCAGTGCGAAAAATGGTCATAAGTCACTTTTTCAGTGATGTTGTAACTTTGAACGGTCACTAAATGAACTGTGTAAGTTGAGGATTACCTCACCATCCAAGTTTGTGACAAAGGATCTACTTTCAAATATGCATTGGGACTCTTCCCATTGGCACCATTCCCATCAACCCTCATAGAAAATAGTCTTGAAAAATACATATTCTTCTCTTTCAGACTGCAAAGGCCTTCACTCACTATAAGTGCTAAGCTGCTAAGTCAATTTATCATTCTTACGCCGTATGAAAAACATTGCCATTTTCCCCCTAAATTGTACTAGATTACGCTAAGTGCTTTATGACTTCAAAAAAAAAAGGGAAAAAAAGGTTGGCCCACTTGTAACATATTCACTATGTCAATAACTGCAGAATAAACTGCACTCAAAAATCAATTCCCCCTTCCCAAAAGCAAGTTGCCTTGATATAGATGGTTTTTTGGGGGGATATACACACACATTTTTTTTCAATTGTTCCTGGCCTGGATAATAATAGTAATAATAATAATAATAATAATAATAATAATAATAATAATAATACATGGCCAATACATTAAAAAAATGGAAAGCAGATAATAACAAGATCAGGCAATGGCTAAGAGCAGGAAAATTGAAGAAAGAGACTGAGGGATTAATTCTGGCTGCACAAGACCAAGCCTTAAGGACAAATGCATATAAAGTCAAAATTGAGAAGACAGCAACAGACAGTAAGTGCCGCCTATGCAAAGAAGCTGAAGAAACAGTGGACCACCTGGTAAGCTGTTGCAAGAAGATTGCACAGACTGACTACAAGCAGCAGCATGACAAAGGAGCAACAATGGTGCATTGGAAGATCTGCAAAAAATATCATTTGCCTGTAAGCAAAAACTGGTGGGATCATAAAATAAGAAAGTCATAGAAAATGATAAAATTAAACTGCTCTGGGACTTCAGAATTCAAACAGACAAGCACCTGCAACATAACACCCCAGACTTAACAATTGTCGATAAGAAAGACAAAAAAGTCTGGATAGTGGACATGGCAATGCCTGGAGACAACAGAATAGACGAGAAAGAACTGGAGAAGATAACAAAATACAAAGACCTACAAATAGAAATAGAAAGACTGTGGCCAAAGCAAGCAAGGGTAGTACCAATAGTAATAGGCTCCTTGGGTGCAATCCCAAAACAAGTGGAGCACCACTTGAACACCATTGGCATTGACAAATTCGCTATTAGTCAATTGCAAAAGGCGGCCTTACTAGGAACTGCTTCCCTCCTGCAACGATACCTGTAATACCATCAAACATCCACATCTGCCTATCCCAGGTCCTGGGTAAGGACTCGATAGGTAGACAAAATGCCAAATCCAGTCTGAACATCTGGCTGACTGTGCGATGATCCTCAATAATAATAATAATAATAATAATAATAATAATAATAATAATAATAATAATAATAATAATAATGGTGGAAGGGACCTTGGAGGTCATCGAGTCCAACAGTTTCAGAAATGCAAACATTTTGAACTTTTGTCCAGCTTTGCCTCGCAGAAGTATTACAAATTTGATTAAATCAGCTTTGTTAAGTCTTTTTCTAAAGTTTAACTAAATATCGCATCGGTATCCCCTCTACAGGGGGTCCTTGAATTATGACCACAATGGAGCCCCAATTTCCTGTTGCTAAGCAGCACAGTTGTTAATTTTGTCCCATTTTACGACAATCGTGCCCCGGTTGTTAAGTGAGTCACTGCAGGAGCTAAATTTGTAACCCAGTTGTAAAGTGAATTTGACTTTGCTTGTCAAAAGGTCACAAAATGTGATCACATGACTGCAGGACACAGCCACCATCATAAATATGAGCCAGGTTAATTATGGAATTATAGAAATGAATTGTTATGGATTGTTTTTAAATGTAAACCCAGACAACACGCTATATACTAAATATTAAGGTGACTATGTTAAAAAAAAATCGATAAAATATATTAAAAAAATAAATAAAGATGAGCTAGGTTGTACAAGCATCCAAATTTTGATCCCACAAAGCATCAGGGTGCTGCAATGGTCGGATGAAAAGTCACTTTTTTCAATGCGGTTGTAACTCTGAACAGTCACTACATGAATGGGTATAAATCAAGGACTATCTGTAATAGGGGAATCTGATTAGGATGCCCACAGACAACCAGGTTAACAAACTTCACCATGTTGTTAGAGTACAAACATGGATTTATTGGACGTTGCTTTCAAGCTTCAATACAAGAATACAACACAAGAACTACAAAACAAAAACAAAACCCTATAACAACAGGTGGAAATGGCGTGAGACAAAGGGAGAATTGTTTGAAGATTAATAGATTATATGTATATTTAAAATGAAGGAGGATATTAACATATTCTCCCTTTCAGATATATGGAGAAAGTAAATTACAGAGATAAAGTGGATATAGTTATCCCGGAGGTGGAAGGGCAGAGTTTTGGAGGCCTGAGTGACTATTAATCTTCATTACTGCCTATGAAAATCCAATCCACTTATGCTCATTTCCTTCTGACTTTTCTCAGAGCTTTCCTCCACATTCAAGAAATTCAGCACTGGATTATTCCTGGGGAAAGTAGAAGTGGAACCACTGTATGAAGAGCAGCTGGGATCAGGCAGATCTCTAGAGTTTTCTTTCGCCTGTATTTCTCTCATTGCTTCAAATATACACAGAGAGCAAACCCTACTTCCTTCTAGAACTGATGATGTTATCTAGTTGGGTAGTGAAACTTCTGTAGGAAAACAGCCAAGCTCCGAGAGGACCAAAGGACCCCACTGTTCAATGCTGAGCCACAAATATACTCTTGCTACCAGAGATTCTCTCTCGGTACCAATTCTTCAATTCTATCCCCAGCCACGGAAGCTCACAATGGTCACCTTGGACCATTTCTCTCTCCTGGCATCGTACCTTAAGTGGTGGGGAAGAAAATGGCAGAGTGCTACACAGGCCCCACTGAGTTCCACGAAAAAAGCAGGATGGAAATCTATCAAACAAGTATTCATCTGGGTTCCGTGGCAGCTCTCCTCTTCCAGTGGCGCTGTGATTTGTCTCCTGTTCTCCACCAGCCATGCTTGTTTTCGTTTGCCTGAGTTTTTTTCTCTCCATTGAACTGTCTAATTAGGAGGATTTAAAGTCAGGATGAGTCACAATCTTGATGGAAGCCAGCCAGCCAGCTAGCCTGGCATCTTCCTTAAAACCCAGAACAAGGCAGCCATAAAGCCTAATTGCCATCAAGTGCGAGGTGGGATGGGGGGCAGAGTTGGGAATCAGGAGAAACTTCTGCCTCTGACTTTTCTTTTTCAAATGCAAAGCGCTGATCTTCAAAACGTTTCCCAGGATGGCAAGTACAGCGCTGGCCTTCTGACCCCTTTTATGACTGCGACCTTCCCACGTCAATCTTAATATTCTTAAATTGAAATTTAGAACAGTGCCTCTCCTTTGGATGGCCAGCTTCTCCCCCCCTCCCCTTTGAGTACCTCCCTCCTCCCAACTCTTGGACTGAGATGGGCGTTCTGTTTGCTGTCCCAAAGAACCTGTCAACTTGATTTTATGTCTTATTCCCCCCATGCCCTGCTTAGACCTTGATTGGGATCATTAGTGATGTAATAATCCCTCTAGATTTATTAGCTTAAATAGCTCCACTCCCATCTCCTATCCGCATTTAAATATTACTTAATTTCCTTCAATTTCTCTTCCATCTGTCCAAGTTTCCATCCAGCTACTCTTTCTTTCCTAATTAACCCCTGTCAAGACTGCACTAAGGTGAGAATTAGATTATTTCGATAAACTAATGCCACTTGGTCTATGATCAGCCTCTACTTTAGAACTGTCTTTGAAATAACATTAGATTTCTAACCGAGGATCTACAGTTTGGCCCAATGAAGTTAATAGTGGCCATTATTAAATTGTTTCCGAAGCAAAAAAAAAACCCCCACATTACTTTGCATCAAGCTATGTGCTGCTGTTGATGATTGAGAAGCACAGCTTCCAAGCCATGTCCTGGAGGAGCACAGCCCTGGAGTCACTGTGATAATCTTTTTCTGCCTTGAACCACCAGCAACACAATTAGGAAGTAGAAACAATTTGCTTCAAGCCAAGAATGGCAATTTGATTTGCAGGGGAAATGTGCACAAACCTAAGTACCAGCCATGTTTAGAGTAGAATAGAATAAAATGGAATAGAATAGAATAGGAATTAGAATAGAATAGAATAGAAATTACAGAATATAATAGGAATTACAGAATATAATAGGAATTACAGAATAGAATAGAATAGAATAGAATAGAATAGAATAGAATAGAATAGAAATTACAGAATAGAATAGAGTAGAGTAGAGTAGAACAGAACAGAACAGAAGAAGACTAATAAGAAAAGAATTAGAATTAAATAATTAGAATTAGAATTAGAATAACAGAGTTGGAAGGGACCTTGGAGGTCTTCTAGTCCAACCCCTTGCTCAGGGAGGACACCCTATGCCATTTCAGACAAATGGCTGTCCAATCTCTTCTTGAAAACTTCCAATGTTGGAGCATCCACAACTTTTGAAGCCAAACCATTCCACTGGTTTATTGTTCTCCATGTCAGGAAATTTCTTCTTAGTTCTAGATTGCTTCGCTCTTCAATTAGCTTCCATCCGTTGCTTCTTGTCTTGCCTTCGGGTGCTTTGGTGAATAGGCTGTCCCCTCTTCCTTGTGGAAGCCTTGGATATTGGAAGACTGCTATCATGTCACCCCTAGTCCTTCTTTTCATTAAACTAGACATCTAATTCTTCTTCGGTGGCCCAGCAGACTAACGTGTGTAGTCAACAAAAGCAAATCACTGGCTTGTACTCACAGTATGGCCTGCCAAGCCTTCTCAGTTACAAAGTTACAGAACGGACTCAGAAATGGCACCTTCCTAAATCTCCCCATTCAGTTCTTGCTGAGCCATTCCTGCCTCCTAAATTCAGATTACTGTAGCATCTCACTTGTTTCCATCTGTCTCTTCCACCCAAATAACAGCACAGTCCCTGTTCCTCTTGACAAGCACGCACACCCTCGCTCAAACACCCAGACACACACACACACAACATAAATATTCATTGAAATTATAGAAACTGATCACCATCAAGGTTAGAAGGCAATTCCTATTAATCACCTCATCGGTCCCCTTGCATGCAAAGCAATGGAGATTTCATTATCTCCCAGCCCTCATTAACGGTGAGGTGCCACATCTCATACGGATGACGGTTCTCCGCTCTCTCCTACCCTTCCAACTCTCTCAGTCTGTCTACCTGGCATACAGGTAGTCCTTGAGTTATAACCATTCATTTAATGACCATTCAAAGTGACAACAACACTGAAAAAAGTGACTTAGGACCATTTTTCACAGATACGACCGTCACAGCATCCCCATAGTCACGTGGTTTATTTTCGGATGCTTGGCAACTGGTTCATATTTATGATGGTTGCAGTATCCCGGGCTCACGTGATCCCCTTTTGCAACTTTTTGACCAGCAAAGCCAAGGAGTCAAACAGTCACTAAATGACCTCTGCTGTATGTCGAGAACTCCCTGCATTTTATGACCGCTCCATTTTCAAGGGGATAAATCCAAACTCTGCAGCCCCCCCCCCCTATTGCTGGGAGAGCCAGACTCCCAACTGGAACAGACCAGTTTTCATCAATCAGATGCTTGGGGGGGGGGGGGGAAGGGAAGGAAAGAAAATGCTTACCAGATTAGTGAAGATGTATGTATAATAGGCTGACACCATTCCCAGTTCAGCTGCCTGTAACGCAGAGCAGAAGAGAAATCAAAGCACGGTAAGTCACAGAGTGCCAGATTGCTCCTGTACTGGTCGATACCTTCAAATTTGAAGCTAACTCAGATTTCTCTGAAAGGTTTGGGGAAGTCCAGAATGCAAGGCTGGAGTTTTGCCTTTGAATCCCGCTCTTTGAAATGAGATTTACTGCTCAGAGAAGTTTCCCCAGGATACTAGAATATGGATTAATGACCAACTCTACCACCGGCTTCTGTTTCTGATGACGGTCCTTCCGTGCCAGGTGAGTTTCTTCAAACAATTTTGGAACCAAGAACATCTCTACTTGCTTGGAGGATATTTGAAGGGGACTGGGGAGAGAGCTGTCGTATTTAATTAGTATTTCCCCCCCCCCCTCTCTGTGGGTAGAAAGAGTCTCTTGTTCTTCCTCTATAGAGCTCATCCTTTTTTCCCTAAGCGCTTTGTTGGGAGGGGGGGGGGAATTCTAGGAAGTTATAACAAATGTTAGGACCCCCTCCCCAAGTCCTTCAAACACCACTTTCCAATTTTGCAGCCGTTGGCTTCTCCTGGGATTTGAGCAGGACTCCAGTTTTTGAAGTCTGACAAGTCATAGAAACTGTCCCGAAGCAAAGGCTTGTAACTGAGTGCCTTTCTTTCTTTTAGCCGTTTCTCACCTGGATGGCTTTAAAAAAAAAACAAAAAAACATTTCTGCACCACCCTAGGCAATGGTTTCAAATGGGCTGCACTTAAAAACATATTTGCAAATGCAAATGAAGACTGCCTTCACACGTGTGCGCGCACACACACACACACAGAGACACACACAGACACACAGACACAGACACACCCCAATGCAGGTATTGGGAGTGAAGTGGCAAATTCTGAATATAATTTGTAGCCCATTGCAGTCTGTTGCATATGCGCCTAGCAGATGAGGGGAAGGCCAAGAGACATCAGGAGAATAACTGCTTCCTAGGAGCAAACGGGATGGAAACACTCCCAGGGATGCCTGTAAGGTGGGGTTAAAAAACCCAAAAAAGTCAAAATGAGGGTGTCATAGAAGCGTGTATATTGCCTGTGTTTTGTTCACACTGCTATGTTTGACTTCTTTTTACCTACCTTGCCTGTTCCCATCAGGTCTCTCTTCTCTGGTTCTCAGGAAGAACATGAGCAGATCTCTAGGCTAGCCAGGAATACAGGCAGTCCCCAAATTACGACATTTCATTTAGCGACCGTTCAAATTTACAACGGCACTCAAAAATGTGACCGATGACTGTTTTTCTCACAACCACTGCAGCAATCCCTGCAATCACGTGATCAAAATTCAGACGCTTGGTAACTGGCATGTACCTATGACGGTTGCAGGGTCCCGGGGTCACATGATCCCCTTTTGTGACCTTCTGACAAGCCAAGTCAACAGGGAAGGCCGGTTTCACTTAACAACCGTGTGACTGACGGAACAACTGCAGCGGTTCACTTAACAAGGGTGGCAAGAAAGGTTGTAAGAACGGGACAAAGCTCACTTAACAAGCGTCTCACTTAGCAACAGAAATTTGGGGCTGAATTGTCGTACGTTGAGGACTACCTTGCAATCACCTAGGTATGGAGCCTCCCTCTGAAACCAGGAAACTTAATCTGGTAGCTGCCTGGCTTTTGTAAAAGGAGCCCGGATAAAAACAGGGATCAAGCACTAACCGCCCCGATTGCTGATATCCTCCCAGGCTCAACTCCAACAGCTGCTCTTTACCTGATCCTCTAAATCAGTGGTTCTCAACCTTTCTAATGCCGTGACCCCACAATACAGTTCCCCATGTTGTGGTGACCCCCAACCACTTATACATCACCGGGTGCCAGGGGCGTGGCCAATGAAAAGGGGGAAAAATGCCAGACAGCCTTGTTTGGCGACCCCCGTGAAATGGTTGTTCGACCCCAAATGGGGTCCTGACCCACAGGTTGAGAACCACTGCTCTAAATAGCCCACGGCTAGATTATGAACACCAGGTCGAGGTTGCTTCCCTTGATTCCTGGGATTGCAGATATAATGTTGTTTTGTTTTTGGTTTTGTTTTTAACTCCTGTGCCGTAAAACGGGCTACATCTTTGTTGCTTCTTCCTATGATAAATTATCATTCAGTTCTTGCTGTGGATTTCTGGGCTGGAAGAAAACGCTTCCGGTGGGGGGGAGGGGGAACCAGAAGCTCTTCACCTGTTTTTAGGCAAGTCACAGACCACGCATCATCGTGAGCCTGCCTGTTACCAAGGAGCTCGCCTGCCTTATTTTTCCAGGCTTGCCTTATTCCTGTTGACTTTGAGTAATCCAGAGACTACCTGACGAAACAAACTTGATTCCCGGCGTGTTTTGTCTAAGAGTCACACACTCTTTGCACAGGGCCGCAGCTGCCATTCGAGCCCAAATAGAAGGGGCAAAAAAAAAGGGGACACCAAGACAGATTCCCAGAGGGCCAACGTGCTCTCCTGTCCCTCCTCTCCACTGCACCCTTCTGTTCCTCTTTTTTTAGCTTGGGAGGGGGGAATTCTAGCTTTGAAATCAGGTCCTCATTTCGATTCCAGGGACAGGTAATCAAAGAAATGTCACCAATTGTTTTCTTTGGCTTGCTTGAAACAAGGATACTCATGGGTGGAAGCCAAGATGGCTGTGTCGGACAACGAGTCATTTGGGCCTCTCAGAATCCTACAGGAGAGGGTATGGATTGAGAAGAAGTGGGTCAAACAGAATGGATGGATAAAATGAGTTTTAAGTTTGAGAAGAAAGTAAAGGGTAGGGTAAGGAAAAAAGCTAAGCCACCCAGAGTAGTGAGATGGGCGGCATAAAAATTTAATGGATAAGTAAAATATCTGGGTAGCACTATAACGAACATGAGAGAGCAAGTTTGATCTAAGGATTAAGGCACCGGGCTAGAAGCCAGGAGACGGTGAGTTCTAGTCCTGCCTTAGGCATGAAAGCTGGCTGGGTGACTTTGAGCCAATTACCAGGAGATGGTGAATTCTAGTCCCACCTCAGGCATGAGGTTGACTGGGTGACTGAGAAAAATCACCAGGAGATGGTGAGTTTTAGTCTGGCCTTAGGCATGAAAGCTGCCTGGGTGACTTTGGGCCAATCACCAGGAGACGGTGAGTTCTAGTCCCACTTTAGGCATGAAGTCGACTGGGTGACTTTGAGAAAAATCACCAGGAGATGGTGAGTTCTAATCCTGCCTTAGGCATGAAGTCAACTGGGTGACTTTGAGAAAAATCACCAGGAGATGGTGAGTTCTAATCCTGCCTTAGGCATGAAGTCAACTGGGTGACTTTGAGAAAAATCACCAGGAGATGGTGAGTTCTAATCCTGCCTTAGGCATGAAGTCGACTGGGTGACTTTGAGAAAAATCACCAGGAGATGGTGAGTTCTAATCCTGCCTTAGGCATGAAGTCGACTGGGTGACTTTGAGAAAAATCACCAGGAGATGGTGAGTTCTAATCCTGCCTTAGGCTATGAAGTCGACTGGGTGACTTTGAGAAAAATCACCAGGAGATGGTGAGTTCTAATCCTGCCTTAGGCATGAAGTCGACTGAGTGACTTTGAGAAAAATCACCAGGAGATGGTGAGTTCTAGTCCCGCCTTAGGCATGAAAATTGGCTGGGTGACTTTGGGCCAATCACCAGGAGACAGTGAATTCTAGTCCCGCCTTAGGCATGAAATCGGCTGGATGACTCTCTGGATGTCATTCTCTCTCGGCCCACTATGTAAGGCTCAGGGGACAAGCCAATCGGTCAATTCCAATTGCAACAAATGGATCAGTACGTGATTGACCAATTAAAAATGGACCCTGCACTTGCAGGAAAATGCCAGCAAGGGAAAAAAAAAACCATGACAAATGTGAACTGTATGTTGTTTCTAAATAACTATATGAAGACGTGGAATGAAGATAAAAAGGATATGTTAAGATGGGAGAAATTTCTTCTGTCGTTGCTGGGAAGAATCTGTGTGATAAAAATGAGTGTCTTGTCTGGAAGGGTGTTTTTCTTTCAGACAATACCTGTTTGACAACTGATGTGCCATTTAAACAGAGGCAGAAGGATATATCTAAAATTGTCTGGCAGGGGAAATAACCACAAATTAAATATAAGGTGTTGGAAGATACAAAGGAAAGGAGAGGGTTGGGTTTACCCAATTTAAAATTGCATCTGGCAGCTTGCTATTTGGGTTGGATGGACGAGTGGGGGCTTCTGAGAAATACAAGGATTTTGAAGCTAAAAGGACATGTCTTGAGTTTTGGCTGGTGTGGAGGTTTGTGACACAACAAAGTCAAATTTCATGTGGAATTTAAAAATCCTAATGTTAGACGAGGAAAAACATGGTAGTTCAGTGGTTGCTAGGCTTGTTGATTGGAAAGCCAGCAGTCCACGTTCAAGACCCAAGGGCTGTGCAACGGGTGAGCTCCAGTCCTCGCCCCAGCTCCTGCTCACTTAACAGTTTGAAAGCATGCAAATGCAAGTAGATAAATAGGTACCACCTCGGTGAGAAGGAAAAAGTGCTCCGTGATGCAATGCTGGCCACACATGACTATGGAAGTCTCTTGGCTAGGAAATGGAGATGAGTCCAATGGAGAGTCAGCAACAACCAGTGGAGTAAAATCCACAGGGACTCCTTACTTCCTTACTTTATGTTAGACGAGCCTTATTGAGAACATGGGGCAGATACAAATCTAAATTGTGTCTGGAAACACTTTGGTGGAACTCAGCACAAGAAATATTTTATAGATGAGAAATAATAGACAAATGCAAATGGTTAACTTATTGCGAGACACTAGAATTTTGTCAGAAGTGATGTAAAATAAAATCTTGAGAACAGCTGGTGGCAAAGGGGTAGAGCTGTCAATGGGTCTGTAAGGACCCACCCCACTTTGCATCTTAAGAAGACAGAACTCTTGGAATAATTCTTCCAACAGGAATCCTTTATTAAGAGAAGTGGTTGCAGGCATGCTAGACAGGACTTGGGGTTCAAGCTCTCCCATTCAAGGTTTTAAGGGGTTCCCCAGTAGTCCCACCCAATCAAGCCCCCTTCCAGGGATAGTTTCAAGTATCACAATTCCACCCCCTTTCTTCTTTCTTCAGTCTAGATGGAGACTTCAGATAACTACATGAAAGGCAATTACCCTTCTTTGATATGTTAACGCTTAGAGGTCACAATAAACACACATTCAGCATTCAGCCCTTTGAAGTGTACTGAAGGAAGTGAGGGCCATAAAGCCCCTTTGCTCTCCCCCTTCTCTCCCTCTTATGGCAGAATCCAGACAAGGCAGAATTGGGAGTTTCTATATTTGATAATTAAAGATGAAATATAATTGGATTCTGACATCCGGCCCCTCTTAAAAATAAGAGAGATCCACCTTGAAAGAAAACACAAGTCAAAATTTAGTCAGGCTTGTTAGGATACTCTGTGTGAAACTTCTTCAATAGCTTCGGGCTCTGACATGACGTTTTATGAAACCCACTCGTTTTTGTGAGGCAGGGAGGTGTTCCAGGCAACTAGGTACTGAGTTGTTCCATGATATCTCCTAGAGTCAGGATCTCTTTATTTCGAAGTGTTGTCACCCTCCACCATGATTGGAGTGTTGGGTGGGGGATTTTTGGCCGTAGGATGTGACCTGCTGCCTCTCTTTTCACAAGCTGCAATGAAAAATTGTGTATTTGCCTGAGGTTGTTTTGGGTAATTCTATTCTAACTGTTACTGATTTATGATTCTTTAATTGAAAAGGTCCTATATATTTTGGTCCAAGTTTTTTACAGGGCTGTAAGGACTTTAGGTATTTTGTAGATAAGTACACCATTTCTCCTATAATGAATGGTGTAGGCTCAACCCTTTTTTTATCGGCTTGTGTTTTATATGCCTGCCTAGCTTCATCTAGTGCTTTTCTGACTATTGGCCATGTGTTTTGTAATTTCTCCATCCATTCTTTCAGCGAGGGGATCGTTGGTTCGTTTGGGGTTAATTCTGGCATGGGGTTGAAACTTTGACCGGTGGCTATTTGAAAAGGAGTGTAACCTGTGCTGGAGTGGACTGCATTATTGTAGGCAACTTCTGCAAAAGGGAGTAAGTCCGCCCACTCGTTCTGCTGGAAACTAAGAAAACATCTTAAATATTGCTTAAGTACGGAGTTCATTTTTTCAGCCCCCCCATTTCCTTGTGGGTGGTGGCTAGATGTCAGTCCCTGAGTGGTTCCTAAGAGGGATAAAAATTCCTTCCAAAATTCAGACGTAAATTGCACCCCCCTGTCAGAGATGATGCGTTGGGGTGCCCCATGCAATCTGTAAATGTGTTGGATGAAAAGTATTGCTAAGGCTTTTGCAGTGGGAATCTTTTGGCAAGGGATAAAATGCACCTGTTTGGAAAACAAGTCCGTGACCATCCAGACCACAGTATTCCCATTGCTTTCTGGCAATTCCACTATAAAATCCATAGCTATTTCTCTCCAGGGGGCTGAGGGACTTGCCACTGTTTGCAATAGTCCTGGCACTTTCCCTTGCAACCTCTTTGCCGTGGCACATTTTGGACAACTGGCTATATAACTTTCAATGTCCTTTTTCATGGATGGCCACCAAAATTGCTGTTTAAGTAAATGTAAAGTTTTTACAAATCCAAAATGCCCTGCTGATTTTGTGTCATGGCAAAGGTGCATGAAAGTGACTCTTTGAGTTGTTGTATATATAACTTTTCCCCTACCCAAGGCAACCCGTCTCTCATTGTGAACACATTTTTGTTTTTCTGGAACCACTCATACTGTTTCCAACTGTTTTCTGAATTCAATTCCAGTTTGGCTGTCCAGTTGTGGTTTTAATCATGGCTTTGTGTTCTTGTGGTTAACTGGTGGTGCAGTTGTGACTTCTGCCATTATTGTCTAGCGTCTGTGGTTCGTGCGCTGTTATTTGGGCATGCTAGATAGAGCTCTTCCAGGAAGTGCTTTCTTTCCTGGTAAATGTTTGAGCTTAAATTGGAAATTGGTGAAAATGCTGGGGACCATACGGGCCAGCGCTGTTCTGGTTCCGTGAGTTTCTTGGATGTATATGCACAGGGTTGCAATACTGCATCATTATTTTCTTGTAATAGCACAGCCCCCACTGCCACATCACTTGCATCTGCCTGTATTATGAAGGGCTTGTCCATATCTGGGTGCCTTAGTACTGGTTCGGCAGAAAAAAGTCTCTTTAGTCTCTCAAACGCTGCTTGGCACTCCATTGTCCATGTTAGTGGCTGGCTAGGTTTTACTGAGGATGTTCCCTTCGTTTTGAGTAAGTTGGTGAGGGGCAAGGCTATCTGTGCAAATGAGGGGATGAATTGGCGGTAAAAATTTGCAAAGCCCAGGAAACTTTGTAGTTGCTTTCTTGTGCGGGGTGGTGCCCATTCTAATACTGCTCTGACCTTCTCTGGTTCCATTTCAATGCCCTGTGGGGATATGCGATAGCCTAGGTAGTCTATCCTTTCCTGGTGGAATTCGCATTTTGAGAGTTTGGCATATAGGTGAGCGGCTCGCAGCTTCTTTAAAACCGCTCTGACAAGTTTGACTTGTTCTTCTTTTGTTTCAGTAAAGATAAGAATGTCGTCCAAGTAAACAAGGACCCCCTTAAACAGGTGCTCCCTTAGAACGTCATTGATTAGTTGCATAAAGACTGCCGGGCCCCCTTGTAATCCAAATGGCAAGACTTTGAATTGATAGCACCCCATGGGGCAGTTAAATGCAGTCTTCCATTCGTCCCCTTCCTTGATTCTCACTCTATAGTAAGCTTCCCTTAAGTCTAGTTTAGAAAAAATTTTCCCTTTCGATAGGTGTGACAGCATGTCTTTCATGAGGGGCAGCGGGTATAGGTTGCTTTCACTGATTGTATTCAGGGCCCTATAATCCACGCATAAACGTAAAGAGCCATCCTTCTTCTCTCTAAAAAGGACCGGGGCAGCCCCTTTAGGCTTGGCTGGCTCAATGAAACCTCTCTCTAGGTTTTTTTTTATACATCTTCTTTCCATTTCCTCCTTCCTCCTTTGGGCTGCATGGCGTATAACTGGCTTCGGGAGTTTTGCCCCGGCTTGAATTCAATGGTACATCTGTGGGTCGGTGGGGTGAGCTCATTCGCCTCTCCCTCACTGAAGACTCAGCAAGGTCACCTTATTCCCTCGGTAATTTCTGTAATCCTTTTTTCCCTCTCCTATGGATGCTTTTTCTATTCTTGATTCTGGTAGCCTCCCTTGGGGTGTTAAGTCCATAGGTCCCCCCTTCGGGATTTGATTTCTGTCGTCCTCCAAGTTACCCAGGGGTTCCAGTTTTTTCAACCGTTCCATCCCTAGAATCATGGGCATTCCATGCCTGGGGTCACCACAAATGTTATGTACTCTTCATGTTTGCCCAGGGAGAGGTGTATTGGTAGAGTGGCTAGGGTATCTGGCACCCCCCCTGCTATGGATCCATCTAACTGGCCAAATGAGATTGGTTGTTCCAGTCTCCTGGATGGGATGCCCAGATTCCCCACTAGTGTTGGGCTAATGAGGCAGCGGGTACAGCCCGAGTCTATTAAGGCTTTCACCTTCACAGCTTCGGGCAGGGGGGGGATTAATATAGTCACTGTTTTGAAGATGGGTGTGATGCTCCATTACCAGGGTTTCGCCACTCCGAGCCTGTCTCTGGGCATCCCCGTCCCTGTGGTGTATGGCTGGATCCTTTTCCCCTTGATGAGCAGAGGTGGGGGGTTCTGCAATGTCCATCATTCTCATGGCAGTTTCTTTTGGCTTAGCTGAAGACTTTTCGGATTTGCTGATCGGGGATCTGTCTGGGTTTGCTGGGGGGCTTTGGAGCGGCATTCTACAGCTCGATGCCCTTCTCTTCCGCACTTGAAACACCCCATTTGCTTCTTGGCTGTAGCCAATGTTTTCAGTGGTTCGTGTGTCAATTCAGGCGGGGGGCAGCTCCATTGTTTTCCTCGGCGGTGTCTCTTCAATATGTCGATCTCTGCTTCCTCTGCCAAGATGTACCATTCCTCAAATTGGTGTGGGTCCCCTCGGGGCAGGCACGCGTCATATAGGTCATAGTTTAGTCCGTCTTTGAAATGGCCACGGAGGATGTCTTCTGGCCAATTCAGTTTGCTGGCAATGGCCCGGAATTCTTGTGTATACTCGGCTACTGGGCGTTTGCCTTGCCTCATCGTTGTTATTCTTTCACGGGCTTTGCGATCAGCCAAGGGGTTTTCAAATCGTCTTCTCAAAGAGGACCTGAAACGGTTGAAGTTACTGAGTTCTGGGGCTTGTAGTCATGCAAGTTCACTACCCCATCCGCAGCTGGTCCTCCAGGGGCAGATTGCACATCCGGATGCGGCTTTGTTCGCTGGGAATATCCTGCCCATATTCCTCCATGGTAGCTGAGGACTTGGGTAGGAAAACCCCCAAGCGTGTTGGCTACCCTTTGAATTTCACTTCCAACGGTGGACGTCTTGGAATGGATCGGTGCCTCTGTTGTGGGTGGTAGTGCCTTCCGTCCAGATTGCCATCTGTGGTCCAGTAGGGGGTGGCGGCTACTGGATCAGTAGATGTCCCTGGGGTTGCAGGTTCCACGTCCCCCTCGGTGTCTCTCCCTTTGCGGCTCCAGGAACTGGGGCAGCCGTAGGGTTCAGTTTTCTCCTCTCCTAGGGAGCTGAGAGTTCTCTTCATCAGGTCAATAGCTTTCTCTAGGATCCAGTCTGAGTACGGTGCCCAGCTTCCTCCCTCTTCACTTGCGTGCAGGGATTTCTCCATCTCCTGCTTCCATTCTGGTTGCTTGGTCCCCCGTCTCAGGGTCACCTTTCTTGATTCCTTTCCCCACTCACTTTTCTTTCCAACGCCCATCGACCAGCGAGGCTTGTGGTCCTGTGTCTCCACCACTTCTTCTCCTGAGGAATCTGGCCTCTCGGATCCCAACATCTGGCAAGGTTCCAACTGGGTCAGCGGCTCTCTTTCCAGGGAGTTTTCCCCCTCTCTTGCTCCATTGTCTGACATGGTAAATTTTTGCAAAATCCCCCGGCAAGGGTCTTCCTTCCAGGTGGATTAATTTTGCAAGTCCTGTCTAATGTAAGGACCCACCCCACTTTGCATCTTAAGAAGACAGAACTCTTGGAATAATTCTTCCAACAGGAATCCTTTATTAAGAGAAAATGGTTGCAGGCATGCTAGACAGGACTTGGGGTCCAAGCTCTCCCATTCAAGGTTTTAAGGGGTTCCCCAGTAGTCCCACCCAATCAACCCCCCTTCCAGTGATAGTTTCAAGTATCACAATTCCACTCCCTTTCTTCTTTCTTCCGTCTGGATGGAGACTTCAGATAACTACATGAAAGGCAACTTCCCTCCTTTGGTATGTTAACGCTTCGAGGTTACAATAAACACACATTCAGCATTCAGCTCTTTGAAGTGTAAAGAAGGAAGTGAGGGCCATAAAGCCCCTTTGTTCTCCCCCTTCTCTCCCTCTTATGGCAGAATCCAGAGAAGGCAGAATTGGGAGTTTCTATATTTGATAATTAAAGATGAAATATGATTGGATTCTGACAATAAGCCTGTGCTAAATCTAACTTTGCAAAAACACGCCCCCCTTTGAGGGAAGCAAAAATATGGTTGACTACAGGTACAGGATATGCATGCTGTTGCAATGCCTTATTTAGTGTGCATTTGTAGTCTGCACAGATGCGAATGTCCCCGTTAGCCTTGAGAGGCGTAACTATGGGAGTTTCCCATGGACTTGAGTCAACAGGTTCTAGAACACCTTGCTGGATCAATTTGTCCAATTCAGCATCAATTTTCCCTTTTAAAGCTTTCACCCTAATGGGAGTGACAGTGGGGTCCAGTTTCAAAGAAACTGGGGGGGCCTTTGCAGGCTCCCAGCTGGGGGCTGAAGACATCTGCAAACTCTTTGCAGACTTCTTGTAGACCTAACGTTTGCAAATTGTGTAGCCCTGTAACTTGTATTCCCAAGGCCTCAAACCAATCGAGTCCAATGAGACTCGTTCGTTCACCCCCAACTACCAATACATCTAATGGACCTTCAAAATCCTTATATTGTACTTTAAGGGTGGCCTCCCCCTTAACACACACCTGTGTGTGCCTGTCCTATAAATGCTTCTACGTGATGCGCAGAAACCAACCCTGTTTTGGCTGGGGACCCTGGTACCTTTCAGGCGCAATTCTTCTCGGGGTTGTACCTTCTGACAGCCCAGACACACAGCTGCTATGTGGCCTTGCTTGCCACATGCTCTACAGATTGCAGAACGGAACCTGCAGTCGGTCCTTTTGTGGCGACCTCCACACCCAAAGCACTTGTGTACAGCTGAAGACTTTTCTTTACCTTCCTTCTGCTTCCTTTCTCTGGATGGGTAGAGATGATCCACCTCATCTTCAGGATCTTCCTCCGAGCTCTCCTGGACTCCCTCATGGTGCATGGAAACTGTTTCTGGGTTGTTCCTGATAGACCTCATATTCTTGACTGCCCCACCTACTGCCTCTTCTGCAATGACCTCTCTCAAGGCACCTTGGAATGAAATGTCCTCTTTTGCAAAGAGTCTCTGTTCCTAAGCCCGCATACAAATCGGTCTCTCAGCCTTTCTTCTAAATCTTTAAAGTCACAAGGCTTAGCTGCTCTTCTCAAGGCTGCAATGTATTCTTTAGCTGATTCTCCAGCTCTTTGATCCCTCTGTTCAAACGTGTGTCTCCACGCAATAACAGACAACTTGGGCTGAAAATGTTCCTTCAATAACTTCTTTAAATCTGTGTAAGTGACAGATTCAAGAGGAGCAGGGGCTGCCAAATTTTCTGCAATTTCAAATGCATCTTGACCACAGACACACAGCAAAGTAGCGGCCTTCAAGCGATCTTCTCTTACTTGATTTACTCTAAAGTAATTTTCTACTCTAGCAACATAAGACTCCCATCTTTCTGGGTGAGTAACGTCGAATTCAGACAGTCTCCCTATCTTTGCCATCCTTGCTTCCTACTCTAGGAAGGGGTCTATCAGCCAGCTTACCTCCAGCGATGCTGTACTGGCAGACCAGACTCCCATCTTTCTGGGTGAGTAACGTCGAATTCAGACAGTCTCCCTATCTTCACCATTCTTGCTTCCTACTCTAGGAAGGGGTCTATCAGCCATCTTACCTCCAGTGACGCTGTACTGGCAGGCTGAGTTTAACGCCGTCTTCCTCTCTCCAGGACTCTTGGGATAAGCTTACAATTCTTCTTTGTTTTTGTAAGCTATCCCATCCTCGTCGCCAGTGTTGTGTCCTTGAGTAAACAGCGAATGAATAGAACACATTCTGTAATTCCAACAGCCTTTTATTCACAGTAGTTCTCTCTCCGACACAGCTCTGAGGCTCGCAGGCCTCTCTGTCTCCTTTAATAGAATCCCCGGGCAAAAAGGTAACAAACTGGCGCGCTTCTGTGCCTCACGCATGCGCACGAAGCCGGCGCCACTCAGTCTGGTCCTGGGCAGCTTGTAACTGCCCGGGACCATTGCAATGCCCCAAGCCTGCCTTTGCAGGCTCAGGACACAACAATATCAATGATGGAGATTACAGAGGCAATAAAAAAGCAAAAGAAAGATAAAACACCAGGACCTGATGGACTTCCTGCAGAATTTTATGTAGCACTACAAGATACTATAACTCCAATTTTGAAAGATTTGTGTAATGAGGTTTTTACACAGACAAAAATACCAGACTCATGGTCTGAAGCAAATATTACTTTGATACCTAAAGAAGACACCGATCTTACACTAATTAAAAATTACAGACCAATATCACTATTAAATGTGGATTACAAAATCTTTGCTGCAATAACGGCAGAAAGAATGAAAAAGTTCTTGACTGAATTCATTCATTCAGACCAAAATGGTTTCCTACCAAAAAGACAGATAAAGAACAATTTGAGGATTATTTTAAATGTCTTGGAATATAATGAAATTCATCCAGGGAACCAGATGGCACTTATATTTCTAGATGCACAACAAGCCTTTGGTAATCTAAACTGGCAATTCATGTTCCAACAACTTCAAGTAATGGATTTTGGTGAGAACTTTAATAAAGCAATTCAAGCAATTTATAAAAAACAAACAGCAAGAATACTTTTAAATGGAGATTATACAGATGGATTTGATATTAAAAAGGGTACCAGACAAGGATATCCACTGTCTCTCTTGCTATTTATTCTTACATTAGAGGTACTGGCAAGAAATATCAGACAAGATGCAGAAGTTAAAGGTCTGGAGATTAAAGACCAAAAATATAAACTACGGGCTTTTGCGGATGATTTGGTTTTTATTTTAGAGGAGTCACTGGAAACAGCCGATAAATTCTTGCAGAAAACTGAGAAATTCGGAGAAGTGGCTGGGCTGAAAATAAATAGGGAAAAGACTAAAGTATTAACAAAAAATGTAACAGATAAACAGAAAATTCAACTTGCTAAAATGACAAACCTTCAAATAGTTAAAAAAGTGAAATATTTGGGAATTTATTTAACTGCCAAATATACTACATTAAAAGAAGATAATTGTGAAAGACTAATGAAACAAATAAAAATAGACTTGGAAAGGTTGAAAAATCTCCAATTATCACTTCTAGGAAGAATAGCGACAGTTAAGATGAACATTTTACCAAAACTAATTTTTCTATTTCAAACAATTCCTGTTAAACCAAGTAAGAAATTTTTTGATGATCTAAATGCAATGATTTTAAGATTTATATAG